TTTAAACATCTTCCAACATATTGTCAGTGCCCATTCATACATAACGCCATGTCATCTGGGTCTTTTGTGAGTTACAAATATTAATACACGTCTGATGGCAATAAGACGTTCTTTAAGTGTAGTCATGGCAAGTATAGCTAGCTGAGCCTTGTTTTCTAATGGCAGCACTGCCAAGAGCCACCAATGCCAGGCTGGACCACTGGGATTACTCTGAAAACAAAAATGAGAATGTGTTTCCTTATTAGAGATAGTAGTAGTATAGAACAGGTACCTACCCTTTTCTAGTAGTAGGCTCATCGCAAGGCATTCAAGCTACAGTTACTATATTTACTCACATACTACAATCCACTTTTCTCCCAAAAAATAACCTTCCAGAATTGGGGGTATGTCTCTTAACTGGTGAAGCTGATTGTCTGCTCAGAATATAAGCATGGAGATGCTATGCTATAAGATGGCTGCTGCTTTTTCTTTTCTTCCCTCCAGCAGCTGGTTGGAGGAAGGGCGGGAGTCCAGAAGGGGCAAATCCAGGGGATGTGCAGTAGTACCCCACTTTGATCCAAAGTTTTAAACCAAGTGCCTGACAGCAACAGTGACTATTTCTATTCAGGCAGCACTGACGGAGTCGACTGTCTTACTGGATCATTATAATCTGCCTGATTCCTGCCAATCACTCTTCACTGTACCAGCATTAACACCATCTCTTCTTTTTAGTGGTCTCGATATTCCACTAATCAAGCTATCCTTTCATTGGCAATTTTGCTGTCTTTTAGGCCTGTTCTCTCCCCTCTCACTTCACAACCAGGCAGGCTTTTTCGGCTCTTTTCAAATTACAGCTGTAGCTAGTTTTAGCTTTTAGCTGAGCAGCAAAGAACTGCTGACAATTTCATGGTGGAATGGTTAAAACTGTAAGCTTTTATCTGAGCAGGAAAGGGAAGGTAAGCGAGTTAAAGATTAGGCTCTAGTTCCTGTTATGTAGAGCCATAATTCTGGCAGCATCTTTTTCTTCATTTTGCCTTTCCAAAAAACAAGGTACATGTGGTATGCAAGAATGTATAGCGATACCCTACTCTGTGGGGGCTGTTTCTTGATCTCTACAGATTGTAAGCATGCTTCCCCCTTGTCTAACCAAGTCAGAGCAATCTCTTCAGAGACCAAGCTATCTGGAGTAGAGATGGCAATGTTTTTCTGAGCTTTATGTTAGAGAGACAGGTTCAGGTAATCTGAAGAAGGTTAACATGTCTGAAAGTAAAACAGAACCACCTTCAGAGGGTGGTCTATTGGAGACCCTTAGATCTAGTGTGGTAGTGCAAAAGTAGGAAATATACCTGTGGCTCTGGTTCTTTCCCTGGCATTGACCCAAAATGACTGAGAATTTGTGCCTTCATGTCATCCTTAAGAGAAGTAAACCAGGCAACAGCTTGATCATAAACTGAATTATGGAGACAGACAAGTTCTTCATATTCTGGTCCTTCCACCTAACCAACACAAAGGAGAAAGCAAACAGTTAGGTTTACCTGACAATATAGGGCTTTTACATATGGAAGCACTGCAGCACCAAGTGATTTGAAAAGTGCCTGGTGCTGTGACACATGCAGTTGTATAAGCAGCAAAATGCGTGTCAGCACAAAGCAAATAGTGGCAGCATGGTTTTGAACTAAAACACCTCAGAGGTGCTTTAGTTCAAAAGCTTACAGCTGCCATTTTCTGCACGCTGACGTGCATTTCACCCCTTATACAACCGAATGCAGCACAGCACAATGCGCATCAGCTCGCATGTGGAGCAGACTCAATTAATCAAGTCAGCTCCGAAACAGTGGGTCTCCAGCACATCACAGGACAGAAAGGTATGTGCGTAAACGCCCATAAATACCTGCCAGGTAGCAGAGTTAAGCTCAGTGCTACTTAACAAGAGTTACTACTGCATGAATGCCTGCAGGTAGCATACTAGTGCTTAAATCTAATGCATCCTGAACTCATGTTTTTGTCCCTCCTATAAATTTATGTTGCTCCACAGCTACAACCCTCAGAGAAAGTACTGAATCACTAATGCCTGTTCCTCTATGTTGACACAGAAGGAAGAATCTGCTCATACAGGGATGTCACATCAACCAACTTATTCCATCCCCTATATGGGCTCAGATCCTAATGCAGAGCAGAACACTGGAGCATCATGATATTATGCAACAGCACAGCAGGCTCTACAAACACCACAACTGAATAACACTTGCTTGGGTTTTCCCACTTGTAGAGGCATGCCAAGTCAGATTCTGCAAATGGGGAAAACACCATGTTCTGCTTGCAGAAGTGTTCTTAGAAAATCTGACTTGGAGCAAGTCTCCAAAAAGGGAAACCCTGAGGTTCCCACTTTGAGCTGCACCTGTGGACTCTGCAAGCAGGGGAACCTGGGAATCCCCCATTTACAGAGCTGCCCCACCAAGTTTATCCCACAGGACAGGTCCCCCCAGAGTACCATGGGCCTAATCTTGCAGCAGATAAACTGCAAGATAAACTTCTTGCAGCAGATAAACTGTGCCAGAAAAGCTTGGCACAGCTGATCAGTTTAATTTGGTGACATCTGTCTGTAGTCTAAGAATCAGGAACAGCAGCAACACTGGCATTTGGCATGGGGGTGTGTGAAAAAGTATTACAACCACATAAATATTGTCTCTAATGTACAGATATGGAAGAGAAAAAGGGTAACCCAAATCCAAGAGGAAATACTTATTCAATCTACAGGGTCAGCGTTTTACCCTATTTAGTCTGTATACTAGATATACAACACGGTTTCTGCCAACATACACAAAACAATGCTCCGATATCTCTCAGTGGGGATTCAACTCCATTGAGTAGTAACTCTGGATACATTGCGAACTAACCCTTAACATACTTTTATCCCCATCTTTCTTTTTTGTGTTTGCTGGCAGCTGCATCACACAATTAAAAGAGGTCTCCAACAAATTAATAGGATTACAATAAACTGTGAAAATCTGCTTGAGAACTATACCACCTGCATAGACTTTGAGCCATCACCTGGCCTGAGCAATAGTGAACTCCCTAGGAAGAAGATTTTACTAGCACTCATTCAAGATGACCCAAATATTCATGTTTTGGCTGTAAATATCATTATACATACCTCAGTGAATGAGTTCATCCTATATTTAGAGAGTTTAATTGGTATCTTTTACATTTTCTGTACTTAAAGAAGTCTCCTTAGCCACTAAGCACGCACAACCATACATGAGAAGTTATTACTACTTTTAACTAGTTTTCCCATAGACCAGTAAAGGCTATTGACTCCTGTAAGGGTTACAAACACATAGTGTACCCAAGGAAAGACTGTTTCATGCTTATAAAAATAGATATATGTATTCATACAAGGGTCCAGTGTTATTTTTAAAGTACTACTTTGACCTGATCCGCACATTGTCAGGATAAGTTAAGCCTCTGATACATGGAAGGTCATAAACAATCCTGTTAGATTTATGACAGAAGTAAGACTGGCAGAAAGGTGTAAGGGACACGTGGGCAACATAAAGAAACAAGTGTTTATTGCCACATTTGAGCAGAATAAAAAAAAACTCACTACTTTGAAACACAACAAGGAAAGAACATTTACGTGAACTCAGTGAAATATAAGTGCGAATAATTTTGTACAACAGATCACCTTTTTATCTTCAAGATATTCAATGTTTGCGGTGTTATACCCATCTCGCTGGCCATGGCTCAACACCCTAAACCGACGAACACCAACAGTATCAACAACTGAACGCCCATCAGGAAAAAATTTTACATCCCTGATCTCTAACATGCAGCCATAATCTGCAAACCTGAAATGACAAAAGGGCACAAGAGTGGAAGTCACAACAAAAGGGTTTTTAAGCAAATTAAGACAAAAACTGGGTCTGATTTACCATTATTAGTTTAATTTTACACCACTGTGTTTAAAATGCAACAGAGTTACAATTTTGCTTTTGCTCATACATTTTTCTTGATCTAGGAGAACAACTTTTTCAGGTTAGCAGTATTTGGGGGAGAGGGAGTGGGCAGGAGGAAGGAGAGAACGGTAGGGCTTTAAATAAATGGAACAGGCTTTGTGCCAAGTTTTAATTGCTGGTGGCAAGTTAAACAGGTTTGTACAACTATCTTAGCTGTTTTTTTAAAGTTGCTCAGGAAGAGAAAAATACCACAAATCCTTCAGCAGGTTAAGAAACATATGTAGAAACTGTATAAATGTGGGTCTGAAAAAGACCTCATAAGGTCATCTAGTTCTGCGTCAGCACATGAAACCTACGGCCCACAGGTTGGATTTAGCCCACAGGGCTCCAATCCAGTCCCCAAAGGTCTGGTGCAGAGCCTGCTGCTCTACCATGTTTCTTCTTACCCTTCCTGCAGAGGACATGGGGATCAGGAGCAGAGGTTCACTCTGGAAGATGGAGATTTACAGCCCACAGCAGGGGTGGGGCGGGGTAGGTTGAAAGGGGTGGCCTACACCAGGAAAAGGTTGCTAACCTCTGATCTAGTCCATCCACTTTGGTCTGAGGCAGGATAAGACACCAGGCTTCCCTAAGTAACCTGTCCAGCATTTAGCTATCCCTACAGGTAGAAAGTTTTTTTCTTAACATACAGCTCAAATCTTATCAGCTACAAATTGTACAGATTACTTTTTGTTCTGTACCAGCTGACATGAAGAACATAGTCCTTTTTATAAACAACGTTGCACATATTAAAAGACTTATACCTCCTCAGTCTTCCAAGAAAAAGAAAACCCGATTTCTATAGTCTTCCTTCATTGGTCACATTTTTCCAAATTTCTTAATCTTGCCACTTTTCTGCAGACCAACTCATCTAGACTGTTTGTAGTATGGACATAAAACCCCAACTGAGGCCTCATCTGGACTGAGCAGAGACGAACAGTTACTTTCTGGTGTCTTGCATCTAACACTCTTGTTAATACAACCCACAACAACGTGTTCTTTTTTCAACAGTATCTATTTTTTAAAACTATGTTTATAGTTCATTATGACCCAAGTCCTTCTCCCTACCCCTCTTGATAATTCTTTTCTAAAGTATTAATACCTACCTAGGTTATTCTCCATTTGGTACCTGTATACTTGATTTCTGCTTCTCGAGTGTAGTACCTTGAGCATGTTTTTACTGAGCTTCATCTGGCTGATTCTGGACAATCCCAATAATTTATCAAAATAATTTCAAACTCTAATCTTGTCCTCCTAATACCTGCGACCCCTCCCAACCTGCTATCATCTTCAAGTTTTATAAATTTACTCAGTAGCGTATCATTAGTCATTAATGAAAACACAGACTACAAAGCAGCTCAGGACAGAACCCTGCTTAACTGTCCTTCCAGTTTACTAGCAATTCACTGAAAAACTACATTCAGCTACTACCAACTAACTCTGCATCCACATTATGGTACAATTATCTAAACCTTATTTATCTAATTTGTTTGAGAAGATTATGTGCGACACCATCAAAAGCTTTAAAATGTAGCTGTACCACATGACCTGCTTTTTGCTTTTCCCTTAATCTAGTAGGCAGTTACCCTATGAAACTACTCCAAGTTCTTTGACATGAATGTATCTTAACAAGACCACGGTGATCACTACTAAAGGCTGGGCACTAACTGGCTAAACAGCAGCTCTGCAGAAGAGGACCTGGGGGTTACAATGGACAATAAGCTGAATGAGTCAGCAGTGTGCCCTTGTTGCCAAGAAGGCTAACAGCAAACTGAGCTGCACTGGTAGGAGCATTGCCAGAAGATCAAGGGAAGTAATTATTCTGCTCTATTCTGCACTGCTGAGGGCACATCTGGAGTGCAGTGTCCGGTTTTGGGGCCCCCACTACAAAAAGGATATAGGCAAGTTGGAGAGAGTCCAGTGGAGAGCAATGAAAATTGCTAGGGTGGCTGGGGCACATGACTTCTGAGAAGAGGCAGAGGGAACTGGGTTCATTTAGTTTGCAGAATAAAAGACTGAGGGGACTTGATAGCAGCTTTTAACTACGTGAAGGGGGGCTCCAAAGAGGATGGAGCTAGACTGTTCTCAGTGGTGACAGATGACAGAACAAGGAGCAATGGTCTCAAGTTGCAGCAAGGGAAGTTTACGTTGGATATTAGGAAAAACTCTCTCACTAGGAGGGTGCTGAAGCACTGGAATGGGCTACCTAGAGAGGTGGTGGACTCTCCATCCTTAGAGGTTTTTAAGGTGACAAAGCCCTGGCTGGAATGACTTAGGTGGGGACGGTCCTGCTTTGAGCAGGGGGTTGGACTAGTTGAGCTCCTGAGGTCCCTCCTAACCTTAGGTTTCTATGATTGTTTATAAGCAGACAGAAAACATGGAAATACATTAGGTCTATTACCTTTTCAGGTAGCAACATTAAATTAACTCGTCTATTATTTTGTGTCGTATACTTCTTAAAAGTTAATTCTGCCATCTTGCTCTCCTCTCTCCCCATCTGATGGGACCAACTGCCATTAGAACAATAACTGACACATGCAAGTACAAAACTGAAAGATCAGAATTCAAAACCCCAGGCTCCAAGGCTTAGACTTAAGAAAACAAATGGCACAACAGAGGCAGAAGACAAGGAAAACAAGGCTTTCAGAGTGTATATCACATAAATCCTTCAGGCAAAACAGTATGGTGCTCAGATAAAGAATGCAAGACTTGCAGAAGAGACAGTATACTTTATTTGTTCACTGCATGTGCAACAATGATGGTTCTCCTTCTTAGGATGATTGGCAGTTTTAATAACTTAAAGGACATAGTTCAAAAATGTTCACTGATAATGTGCTAACAGCCATGCCCTACCAGCACAGGGCACGGTCTGCTTTGTGTTATGTTGCAAGATAAAAATATTGCTAAATGATATACGTATGAAATATCATACAATCATAGAAGTAGGGTCAGAAGGGACCTTGTAGTTCTTCAAGTCCGACCCCCTGCCTGGGCAGGAGAAAAAACTCGGTTCAAATGACTCCAGCCAGGAAGGCATCAAGCCTCTTCTTAAAGACCCCCAGGGTAGGAGCCAGCACCACTTCCCTTGGAAGTTGGTTCCAGATCCTAGCCGCCCTGACAGTGAAGTAGTTCTTATGAATGTCTAATCTAAACCTACTCTCCAACAA